ATGGATAGAAACAAAAAAACACTAGGATTGACTCGCATAGGGAACCATAGTCCTCAGCAGAGTCGCCAGCTATCGCAACTACGAAAAACACCTGGCGGAAAAATAGAAGAGTCTCCACCGAGTGTTATTTATCCCAATAGGGAAAGGAAAAAATTGAAGAAAACCTTAAAGAAGGGAGAAGACATGGTCATCGCAACCAAATATGGGGTTCGAGAGTCGATTACGCGAGAGAAAGGTATTAACACCCCCTCGCGTTCGTTGTACTCAACAGAATCCACGCTTGTTGTTCTAATTAAAGGGTGTGTTATTTAAAGCCTACTGCTAAATGGAAATGGGTACAAAAAAGGGAAAAACAAAAGGTGTCTCGATAGGACTTTGCCGTCCTAGGCATACGTATTCCCTCGTGCAATGGGAAGGTCAGAGTCATCGTAGTTCAAAAAACTACAGGTGAAAGGGGGAAGGTTGCTCGCCAAGACATCACGGTCTTGTGCCTAGGTATCCTCATATGGAATAAAAAATCAGAGTAGCCGTAGTTGGCTCACCACGGGTTGCTTGGTGTTTTTTATTAGCAACATTAAGTTCCCATTCCAATAGTTAGGGTCGATGCCTGTTTGCGGTAGAACAGAAAAATAACTTACTCTTTTTGAAAATGATTTGACGAACGATTCCGAAGGATAAAAATGATTTGAATTTGTTTGTGAGTTTTAGAGAAGCGAATTGATTTAGTTTGAGATTCACATTGAACTAAGTTCTATGATATAGGAGCAAATGTGCCGCATGATCGCCCCCAGACGGGACGTACGCTAAACACTCTATACGAAGCAAGAAGAGACCTCTAACTCATTATTTCCCATATACTTAAGACTCGTGCCGCACAATTTTCCTCGTATTTATTACATGTTTTGATGTTGCTTTGAGAGAGAAGAAGAGAAAGATGCACGAAAGGTCTAAGGGGAAACTTTGCCCTAACGTTGTCATGCAAAATGGTCCTAAAGTCGGGATGCGAGAGGAAATTCTATCCTAATGTTAGCATGCAAAAGGTGGACCTAAGGTTGAGGTTAAAAGGGACTAACCTGATGTTATCATGCATGGATTAAACTCCTAATGTCTATCATAATCCAAGTTTAATAAAAAAATTAAGTTGGACTAGGAGGCCTTAAGGGAGCATGCAAGAACAAGCCAAAACAAAGAAAACAAAACAAAAACAACAGCTACAACAGCGCTTCCAGCTCAGAGCAGAAATAAAATCCAGCACACAAGCAAAATAACTTTTAACAGCGGATGTTTTTAGGCAGAAACAGGTGTAAAAGGAAGTAAGGCAGAACATGTACATTTAACAGCATGTATGCAACCCAACAACAATGTATACAACATCATGTAGTGCATCAAGACAAATGCATATGAATAGACATCAATCATGTAACAACATAATATCAAGTATGAATCCAAGATTGATCAATCAATGATGAACATGTTCCATCACCAAGCATAATCATGCATCAAAAGAAAAGATAAAAAACATGCCTTCACATTTAAAAAAACACACATGAATTGCAAACATAAACAAGCATCAAGCAAAAGCAATTGATTCACATGTGTAGACAACTAAGAAAAAACAAATAGGTATAATCAAGTTTCAATGGCATCGCATACCTAAGCACTCATCAAAAGCATCATGGATAATTCAACAATTACTCGCTTGAAACATATACGCAATCATGGAATCGAAGAATATGCAATCATGAAATCAAAGACAAACATGAACATGAACCATATATCCAGCAAAGTGAGCATCAAGAATGAGTAAACAAGTAGGCATAAACAAACATCATGAAGGATGCATCAAGAATGCAACACAAATAGATCATGGACATGCGTCATGGAAATCAAATATCGCGCGTCGAAGAAACTCAAACACACTATCATGTGAGGTGAAACAGCTAAAAAACAATCCACAAATATGCATCATATCAATCCATGAAGATTAAAAGAGGAAAGGAATCAAAACATAGTTCAAAATGCATAAAAATCACACTTTGCATCAGTGTTAATCGATTAACCATGTACAGTTTAAATTTGGTTAATCGATTAACAACATCAAAGTCAGCAAAATTACACTGGTTAATCGATTAACTAGTTTTGAACTGTAATTGATTAATCGATTAACCCTATACCAGTAGTAGAAAATCAAGTTTCAAAAGCACTTTTCAGCAGCAAAACCCTTGTTCAAGCATCCAAATGATTAAGCAATCAAATATGCTTGAAAATTACATTGAATTACAATAATCAAACATCAATTAGATCCAACAATCATCAACGTCAATAGTGAAATTCAAGCAAATGGATTAAATCGTATCAAAAACCATGGATCTACATTGCATAAGTTGAAATTAAGCTAGATCAAGTGTGGATATGAAATTTACCAACCTACAAAATGGATGATTGCTTTGGTGAGTGTTACAAACGGAAATTGACAGATCTAGCACAAGAAATCCAAGATCCAAAGGAGTCCTAGCAAGAAACCTCAAGATACAAGCAATATGATGAACTTGCTTCAAAGCTTCTTCATGAATGACTTCCAAAACTTGAATCTAGATCCAAACAAACTTCAAATGTAGAATTGAACCAAGAATGATGATGTAGTGGGGGTTTAGCTCAAGAATTCACAAATTGTAATACATAATTTGTGAATATATGAATATGGAGCTTTGGTGAAAGGTTGAAGATGAAGACGAAGAATGAAAAAGTAGGAGGGAATTGAGAGTAAATTCTGAAAATAAGGGTGAAAATGAGAGTGAATGAGTGAGGTTTGGAGTAAATTTGGTTAAATAACCCCTAGGTTAGGGATTAAATTTGGTTTGGAGTGTGAGTAGTGAGAGGAATGGAAGTGAGGAATGGAATTAGGAATGGGAATTTGAATTTTGGGTGGAATTAGATTATGAAAATGAATTAAAATGGACCCATTCCAGATCCTTCCAATGATGCACATGTGAAATCAAGTGGTGGAAATTGATTGGAAATTCTACAGTGCTGAAAATTGAAGCATTTTTGCGAATTTCTCCTTGGTTAATCGATTAACCATTTGACAGTTCAAATGTGTTGATCAATTAACACAAGGAATTTTTGAATTTTGGCGCCTTTTGGAGGGAACTTGGAAAAACACATGTTTCCACCTGTTCTGAGGCACATTGGGCCTCTGAAACTTGACCTTTGATATTACCACTGAATCATGCCTGGAATATGCTGTAAATTTCGTTTTGCACTCAAAATATCTTATTAAAAAATATTGTTCGGTGCCGAATTGTTGGACAAAATAAAATACCGGAACCTCTAATAATCATATCATCTATTGAGAAAAATAAATGCTCGAAAAGACTTTGATTACTATCTATTTAGCTTTGAATACCCTACTGAAATAACTCTGAACTGAGGGAAGCTTTGAGATACGAGAAAATACCTTGATCCCATGTATTAGAACCGATGCAATACATAAATGAAGATGTGAATGAAATGAAGCATAAGCTAAAAAGATCAAAGAAATAGAGGACCAATTTTGGAGTGCTACAATTATCACTGTCTATTATTTTAGATATTGGTGTTTTGCCTTTCATTGCAACAAAAGTCTGTTTCAACAACCATGCATATGTCCTTTCAACCTTATTTGAAACTATTGCAGTAGCAAATATAATTGTCTGGTTATGGTGATTAACACTAGAAAAAACAACAAACGTGGACATGTACTTATTTTTCTTGTATGTAGCATTGAAAGCAAACACATCACTAAACAATTCATAATTCTTTTGACTTTCCCCATTGCTCCAAAATAGGTTTTGCATTGTTCCATCTGCACCAACTGTGTGTGCAACAAGTATCAATGGATCTTTAACATGAAGCTCTATAAGATACCTAACAACACCTTTAGCATCACAAAACATCTATTTTCTTTGTCTTGAAATTTGATTATGTATGTCTTTCTTGAAAAATCTTACCTTATCATACCCCAATATTTGCAAATGCACCAACCATTTAAGTTACTTTGATTCAAGCATTTCCAAAATTCTTAATTTGTATCTTATCTGACTTACGAAGCTTCCTATTAGCTAGCTTTCAACAACCCATAATGCTTCTCTTTTAACATTTTATGATTGTGCTCAAAGGTAAAAACTGTGATATACCACCTTTGTGAAATTATATCAATATGCACCCTAAATTTTTCTCCACATCCACACTGGGTTTCGTGCTTCAGACCATGTTTGTGTTGCTCTACTCTGTCTTGCCTAAATCCTTTAAGGTTACAAACAAATGTTTATTCAATAAAATTTCCATTCTTATTTTTAATAACTTGACCTTTACGGACTGCGAATCCATTCATCTTTGTAAACCAACAGTAAAATGTGTAAGCAACTTATAGACTTCCAAATTGCAACTTCGAAACATCACCATTTTGCAAGTTAAATGTCTATCTTTACAATATTGTCGACATTGTCAATAACAAGTGATTCTTTTGGAATTTGATATATAAATATTAATTCATTCAAACTATCTGAACTTCATTCCAAATCTTCCCCATCAGTTCCATCGTTGTTGGCATCTATATTCCAAGATTCGTATCCACCAACATCACCAGAACCGGTCTCATCATCGTATTCACATCCCCCAAATTCACCATCTTCATAATCATATTCACCTCCTACAAACTCAAAATCTTCATTAACAAATCATCACCATCAACAAGCAAATGGGTTACATACAACCACAAAGTAATATTTATAAAATAATTTACTTACATAGTTAGCTAGAATTACTTCATGCCCATAAACATCATCACCATCCATATTCGATTCAATATCCTTGTGATTACCATCATATATAACAAATTTCGATCAATTACAACGCGAAAGAATATGATTGCCAGATTCATTTTTAACTCAAACTAAAAACTTACCTTTTTAGTTCACTAAAAAGAACTTCAGATCCAACTAAATGAAAAAGAAATTAGAATGAAAGAAATGAGGATCAAAGAAATGATCTTCCAAGTTGTAGATGGAGACAATGGAAGAAACGAAGTTGCAGATGGAGAAAATAGAAGAAATGATCTTCCCAAGTCTCCGATTGGAGAATGTGGAAGAACAACACATGGAAAAAGTGACGTGTTTGAGAGTAGTAAGTTGCAAATGGAGAAAGTGATTAGGTGTGTGATAGCGCAATGTGTTCCCAGACCAATCCAACGATTGTTGTTCATTTGGGAAGAAAAAAAAGGTATCTCACGTGAGATACCTATCCTACCCGGTCACAGGAGACGTGGCCTGCTTTAGTTTTGGTTTTAGTATAAATGAGTTTTAAATAATAACAATAATCAAACAAAATTTAAATAAGAAACATCTCTCATTCTAGTGAAAAAATGATAGAAGTAAATTTTATTAGTTGACAATATGATAAAATCTAGGGTTAATACACATTTGACCCCTATCATTTGGGACAAATTCGAAAAAGGACCCTATAAAAAACACAGATTTTGTCCCCCCATTTGAATATTCTTTCATTTTGGCCCCTCAGTAGACACAGTCAGCAGAATCTGTGACGTGGCGCTGCTTTGTTGACTTTTTTATTTTTATTTTATTTTCTTAATGTGACGTGTCATCTTTGTTGGAATTTTATATATTTTTTCTTTTTTATTTTAATTACATGTGTGGCGTTTTATTATTATTTTATTTTTTTTTATGTTAAAATGTTAAAAAATCAAAAATTAAAAACTTTGCCTTCACCGAATATTCAAACTATGACTTAGTGCATGTAAGAAACTCCTCTTACCACTAGACAACTATGCTTTGGTTATTTATAATTTATATCAGATATATATAATATAAACTAAACTAAATTTAATATAAACTAAACTAAACTAATTTTAGATGCATGCTGAAATGTTATAATTTGTTTATTTATTTAATATTTAATATAAACTAAATTAAATTTTATTTAATTACAACATTTCAAATATTTTAAATAAACTAAATTTGATTTTAATATTAACGTTTTAATAAATTAATTTTAATATAAACTAAATTAAACTAAACTAATATTTTTTTTAATGTTTTAACTAAATTAATGTTAATAGAAAACTAAACTAAATTAATATTAACATTTTAACTAAACTATAATAAATTATATTAACATATTTTGATGAAATAAAATAAAATAGTTAACATATTATAAAATATTAATATTAATATTATAATATATTTAATAAAATATATTTAATTAAATAAATATGTTAATTAAATATTAACATATATTTAAATATATTCTTAAACAAATATAGTTTATTTCATAATATTTATATAAATATGTTAAATAAATAGTAACATATATTTAAATATATTATTAAATCAATATAGTTAATTTCATAATATGTTAATAATATATTTAAATAAATATTTTATTTATTTATTTTATTTATTTTCAGTTTAATATTTATAATTAATAAATTAGTTTCTTTTTTTAAATACTAAATGTAGAAATATTTAGTTTAAAATAATTTAGTTTATTTTTTATACAAATGTTAATTTATGTTAATAATTTAACGTTATAATAAATTAGTAATGTAATTTTTTAATTATTTGAAAATAAATTTTACTTTTATAATATAAATTTTAATTTTTTAATTATTTAACATTTTAAATATAAATTATTTTTAATATTTTTTAATTATATATTAATATTAATTATATAAATATTAATTAGGTTTTTTTAAACATATTTTAATATTATTTAACGTTTTAATATATTTAACATTTAACGTTATAAAATTTATTTAACATTTTTTAATTTTTTAATATGATAATATATATAATAAAAATATAATTTATTTTACATGTTTGCATGTTACAATAATTTAAATATATGAAATGTATTCGGTGGAAAAAGTGTATCAGTACCTCAAGAAGGATGATCCTGATGTCGGATGGAAACACATGTTACCCAACACTATTATTAGACCGAGAGCCCTTTTTGCTATGTAGATGGCTTGCCACCGTAGACTTGCGACAAAGGGACGACTCAAAAGGCTTGGCCTTACGACCGATGACAACTGTAAATTCTGCGACAAGGAGAAAACAATTGACCATCTTTTATTCGATTGTCCGCCGTTTAAAACCTGTTGGCAACGAATTCTGGTATGTTTGGGGTATCAACATTTCCCTTGTGATTGTCGTGAAGCACTTGAGTGGTTAATCACACATTGTAAAGGGAAAGGCTGGAGGAAGTGTATATTGCGTAGCTCTGTAGCGGAGACCATCCATGAAGTTTGGAGGTATCGTAACAATGCCGTCTTTGGCAATACGGTGAATATTTTGGAGATTAGAGATTTAGTCATTTCTACCCTTGCAAATAGAGGTTGGGTTAATACTAGAATGAGATATCATATAGCTCAATTGCTTTTAGAGTAGGTGTGGTTTCTTTGATTGTTTTGTGGTTGGGGTATATTCCTCTTTCTTTTGATTTATATAAAATTTCTTTATTCAAAAAAAAATATATAAAAAAAAATATATAAAAAAAAATATATTACATATAACATTTTTATGTTATATATTCATTATATTTTTATGTTATAAATATATAATTTAGATTACATATTTATTACATGCTAGCTTAGTGGAAGAGGTACCCTCTTGCAAGCAAAAGGTCCTGGGTTTAACACAAGTGAAAAATAAATTTTTAAGTTTTACTATTTTAACATTTCAACATGTAAATAATAAGGATAAACTTTTAAGTTTTATTATTTTAACATTTTAACATGTAAACAATAAAATAATAATAAAAGGGTCACGTGAATATTTTATAATGACATGAATTGACACAAAAGTACTATCAGATGTGATATTTTATAATTACTTATTGCTTTACCTTATCTTAATGTGTTTGGTTATCAAAGGAGGAACTGTTAAGAAAAAGAAATTTTCTACAAAGAAATTACTATGTTGAAGTCCAAATGTGTTAGTATTCAAACAAAACCTATTTATCTTGATCAAGGACTGTCAAAGTTCTCAAACACATTTAACATTTTTTAATAATTTAAAACCTATTTATCACGTCAAACTTGAAAGAAAATGAGAAGGATAAACTTGTTCTAACCTGTAATAATGTCTTTAATTAAAAAAGGTAAGCATAACATTGTGAAATATTTTTTTAAAGGAATTAGACGTGTCTTTTTCAGTTTTCAATTAGCAGTTTTCTTAATGCTGGTTAAATTTTGAAAGGGTAATATCGGAAAAAATATTAGATAAAAATAAGTTTTAACTTTATCACATCAAACTTGAAAGAAAATGAGAAGGACAAAATTGTACTAACCTATAACAATGTCTTTAATTTAAAAAGGTAAGCATAATGAAATATTTTTTAGAAAACTGTAAAAGAAAAAACTGCAATATGTATGATAACAAGACATGAGAAATTTGATATATGTATGATAACAAGACATGAGAAATTTGATAGACATGAATTCAAATATTAACACAAAAATACATATATTAAAGAGTGTTAGTTGTAACACCTTTTTCTATCCCATAATTATTATGGCAAAATTACACAGATTTCAGAGTAAAATATTAACTTTCATAAAAAGTCATAAAAAGACGTACATTTTTCAATGTCTCAAAATAAGTCAATGCTCCGTAACACGGGTTTTCTCAAAATACATCAATTTGCACAAATGAGCGGAACTCAAAACATAAGTCAAGGTTTTCCTTATAAGGGAAAGTTAGTAAAATAACTCACTGATATATAGTTCAACTCAAAGAACCCAACCCCAACTCGATGTTACATATCAGAGCAAGACCCTATAAGTTAACCAAAAGGCTAACAACTCTAAGACTTCAAAAATACTCTTCGACGACATCCACAACTAAACTTGGTCATCTGCACGTTACCCACGTGAAGGTAACATTCAAACAGATAGGGTGAGTAAAACAATTCATAATAATCAATGTATAACAATTAATGCATAAACGACGTCATATTCATATTTAACACATTCATATCCTTCAATAGGCCTCGAAGGCCACAACGTCATAATTTATACACAAAGGCTCATAAATGCAAATGCAACATAGACTCAATGCATGTGGTACCAATCATCACAGCGCGATGGACACTGGGCCATCAACCCTCCATAGATCCCCATCAATAGGATCGATTCTACTTGAGAACCGGAGAACATCAAAATACTTCACATCCGCCTAGTGGGATTGAAGTCAAAGTAATCGAGGTCCTGAACCGAAGTCCGGATGCACATGAATGCATGATGCACACGTCACAATAATCCTCATAATAACAACATATGGTGCATCATCATTCATCATCATTCATCATATTCATCAAATTCATCATATGTCATAACTCATCAACATAGTCATCATCATCACATAAATCATCATATCTCATGCTATCACATAAATCGTCATAATCATCATCATCATCACATAAATCGTCATATTTCACATCACTCATCATAATAATCATCGTCATCACATAATTCGTCACATCTCACGTCATCACATAATTTGTCATAATAATAATCATCATCACATAAATCATCATCATCACACATCATGGAAATCGTCGTATAATCACGTACAAATCACACATTAGCTCATAGTCATCCTCATATTAGCCCATCATATTATCACATATTATCCCATATTAATTCATAGTACTGCCCCATATTATCTCCTATTAATTCATAATATTATCCCATATTATCTCATATTAATTCCTAATATTATCTCATATCAATTCATCAAATTACACTCGCGGTAATCCTCACACTATCGCCTATCAATCACATAATTCCTCACTGTCATACTCACGTTAACTCATCCCATAAATCTCAGAATCAACCATCACGGCATCGCTGCACCCGATCAATTTCGCGAAACTCTGCTACGTTCGCTGGCTTGCTCGCTAGGAGAGTTGGTAGCGAACCTTCGCTGGCTTGCTCGCTAGGCGAACAATGCGATGACAACAAAAATCTACTACACACAAAACTAATTCTTGTCCAAATACTCATACGATTCACTTACCTAATGCCCCCAAAACATCCCTATGATCATACAGCGATAACGACACAAAATCTATGGTTTATTAGGCCAATCTGGCAACATTTACACTGCATAAATCACTACTTCCCGCAATTGCTCTGAGTGAATCAGAGTTACTCACATCTGAACATTCCTATTTCTACAGGGTCAAACATATAATGATCCAAGGTTTTGGCCACGAAGGCCTAAGGTTCTCTAATCCTCGTATCAAATATTCAAAT